AAAAAAATAAAATCGTTTGAAATAATTCGAGTTGGCAAAGTAATTAAAACTGCATGCTGATTGGCTGGTGGTAAAAACTTAAAAGTTCGAAAATTTTACAAACGTGTTTTGAGCAAAAAATAAAAAAATTTACAAAGTTCTAAAGTTTTGGATCTTTAATTGTTGATGTTCGAACTGACAAGCATTGTTCTTCAATTCTACTTAAGGTGGCACATTTCACTGCAGTGAATCAGTTGCTCTGCAGCACTCGCTGAGAGAGGTTTTCTCTCTCTCCCTGCTTTGCAACAAAAAATTTGCGCACCGACAAGTTGGGCAATTTTTTGTCTGCAATTCTCAGGCCAATATTGGGGAGCCGTCTCCCACTGTCACTCACAAAGGGGACGGCTCAACCAGGTTTTTTCATGCGCTCAATCTATTATTCGAAGCGCAGTTTGCGCCCCTGTACCTAGGTAAGTGAATCATCATTATTTTTTAAAAACGTTTCTAAAAACTGATCTTTTTAATGGAGCATTTAGGGTGAAGCTTACACACCAAAAGAACGCCCTGGCGAAAAGTTCGAGGAAAACCAAGTCAAACTTTGTGAGAAGCACTTTTTGGGTGGGACTCACACATCAGGACAACAGTGACAGGAAGTTGCGCATTTTTTTGCCTTCGATTCCCCGGCCAGTTTTGGGGAGCCGTTTTCCACTCCCTGCCACTGACCTATCAGGAGTGGCAGAGCAGAAGGGACGGCTCTACCAAAAGTTTTTTCATGCCTTAGTTCTATTATTCGCGGCGCAGTTTGCGCCCTTGAACCTAGGTGAGTAAATTATCATTATTTTTAAACGCGTTTCTAAAAACTTTTTTCTTTTTAGTGAAACATTTTGGGTGGGACTCACACATCAAAAGAGTGCCCTGGCGAAAAGTTCGAAAAAAAACCAAGTCAAACTTTTTAAAAGCGTTTTTGGGTGCGACTCACACACCGGGACGTTTACTGTAAGTAAATTGAATGTGATTTTTTAAAAGTTCTAAAACTAAACAAAAAAGAGGCAAAACTCAAACTGTTAGGTTTAAGAACTTTATGTTGATGTTCGAACTGACAAGCATTGTTCTCCAATTCTACTTAGGGTGGCACATCTCACTGCAGTGAGTCAGTTGCTCTGCAGCACTCGCCGAGAGAGATTCTCTCTCTCACTGCATCACAGCAAAAAATGCGCAACGACAAATTGCGAATTTTTTTGCCTTCGATTCCCCGGCCAGTTTTGGGGAGCCGTCTTCCACTCCCTGCCACTAACCTATCAACAGTGGGGACGGCTCTACCAAAAGTTTTTTCATGCCCTAGTTCTATTATTCGCGGCGCAGCTCGCGCCCTAATACCTAGGTGAGTAAATTATCATTACTTTTCAAAAACGTTTCTAAAAACTTTTCTTTTTGGTGAAGCATTTAGGGTGAAGCTTACACACCAAAGGAATGCCCTGGCAAAAAGTTCGAGGAAAACCAAGTCAAACTTGTTGATGACGTTTTTTGGGTGGGACTCACACATCANAACTTTTCTTTTTGGTGAAGCATTTAGGGTGAAGCTTACACACCAAAGGAATGCCCTGGCAAAAAGTTCGAGGAAAACCAAGTCAAACTTGTTGATGACGTTTTTTGGGTGGGACTCACACATCAGGACAACCGTGACTGAAAATTGATGATGGCGGCGATGGCGACGACAAGAGAAGAGAAGAGAAAGACCAATTGGTGGTACCAATACCAGGATCCTGGTGGTTGCGCTATCAACAACCACAACAAGGAATCAAGAAGTTTAGGAACACATTGTGTTCTTTGCACAAGTAAGTTTATTTTTTATTTCTTTTATCACTTAAAAACTTTAAAATAAAATTTAGTTTAGATTTGTTAAAATTTAATAAAACGTGTGATTTGTGGATTTTAAGCTTACTGTAAGTAAATTGAGTGTGACTTTTAAAAAGTTCGAAATCTTGACAAAAAGGCGCAAAAACTTAAACAGTAAGGTTTTAGAACTTTAATTGTTGATGTTCGAACTGACAAGCATTGTTCTCCAATTCTACTTAGGGTGGCACATCTCACTGCAGTGAGTCAGTTGCTTTGCAGCACTCGCTGAGAGAGGTTCTCTCTCTCACTGCGTCACAGCAAAAAAATGCGCAACGACAAATTGCGCATTTTATTTGCCTTCGCTTCCCCGGCCAGCTTTGGGGAGCCATCTCCTACTGCCACTGACCTATCAGCAGTGGGGACGGCTCTACCAAAAGTTTTTTTATGCCCTAGTTCTATTATTCGCGGCGCAGTTTGCGCTTTCGTACACAGGTGAGTAAAATATCATTATTTTTTAAAAGCGTTTCTAAAAACTTTTTTTTGCAACAGTGCCCAAAATGTGGTAATGGCAGCAATGGTGACAACAATAAGGGGTGGGGGCTTTGGTGGTAACAACCACCAGGGCTCCCCTGTTGTTGGCAACGTCATCAGCACAAATTTGAAGGCCAAGGAGAACACTTTGTGAGCTTCACACAGGTAAGTCTTGTTTTGTTTTTGTTTATTTTTTTCACTGAAAACCTTTTGTTCTTTTTTTCGCCAATAGCCTTTTTTAAAAAGTGAAGTTTTCTATCATATCTTTCACTGCCTCAAAGCAAAAAATGCGCAACGACAAGTTGCGCATTTTATTTGCCTTCGCTTCCCCGGCCAGCTTTGGGGAGCCGTCTCCCCCTGCCACTGACCTATCAACAGTGGGGACGGCTCTACCAAAAGTTTTTTCATGCCCTAGTTCTATTATTCGCAGCGCATCTCGCGCCCTCGTACCTAAGTGAGTAAATTATCATTACTTTTTTAAAACGTCCCTAAAAACTTTTCTTAGTGAAACATTTTAGGTGCGACTCACACACCGGGACAACAGTGCCCGGCAGTTGATAATGGCAGCAATGGTGACAACAATAAGGGAGGGGCTTTGGTGGTAACAACCTCCAGGGCTCTCCTGTTGTTGGCAACGTCATCAGCACGAATCTGAAAGCCAGGGAGAACACTTGGTGAGATTCAAACAGGTAAGTTTTGTTTTGCCTTGTTCACTTTTTTCATTAAAAACCTTGTGTTCTTTTTTTGCCAGAAGCTTTTTTTAAAATGTGAAGTTCTCTATCATGCGCTCTCGCTTTCTCTCGCTGTTTTGCAATTTGCAGTTGCGCATTTTTTTGCCCGCAATTCCCTGGCCAGTTTTAAGGAGCTGTCTCCCCCTGCCACTGATTTATCAGCAGTGGCAGAGCATAGGGGACGGTTCTACCAGAAGTTTTTCATGCGCTCACCCTATTATTCGCGGCGCAATTTGCGCCCCTGTACCTAGGTAAGTGAATCATCATTACTTTTAAAAAACGTTCTTAAAAACTTTTTTCTTTTTAGTGAAACATTTTGGGTGCGACTCACACACCAAAGGAATGCCCTGGCGAAAGGTTTGAGGAAAACCAAGTCAAACTTTTTGAAGGCATTTTTTAGGTGCGACTCACACACCGGGACAACAGTGACCGGATGTTGGTGATGGCGGCAATGGCGACGACAAGAGGGACCAATTGGTGGTACCAATGACCCAAGGACCCTGGTGGTATCAACAACCACAACAAGGAGCCAAAAAAGTTAAGTTTTGCGTGCATCCTTTTGTCACAACTGCAAAACTGATGGTTAAAATCCAAAACATTAAATACTTTAATTCTGTCTGTTTGTTTGTTTGTTTGTTTGCTTGGCTACTTGGTAGAGAAAAATAATAAAAAAATGCACTAAATCGCTTGAAAAACTAAATTTAAAATGTGAGGGTTTCACTTCAGCTCAGTTGGGGGCAGCAACAGCAGCAGCAGCTGCAGACTTGAGGTGCAGCTGAAGTCGGCGGAGGTTTCGCGGTGCCAGCAG